ACGAGGGATTCAGCTGGGTTCCAGGTCAGTCTTTCGCAAAACCAAATTAGTTTGCAAATGGGTGCATTTCATTGATCGAACCACCTGTTCGTTCCCTTGAAAAACATCCCTCCCTAAACTGCCCTGCTTGAAAAATAACACTTGCAAAAAGTCCATTGTTTTAACAGTTTCATGTGTGAATGCCTTTCAAAGGACATACGGGCATAAAATTTGAAGATGAGTGAAACAGCTACAGAATCAAACAAGAACAATGCCTAGCCCTCGTCGAACTAATTCAGTCACACCAAGCGCGGTGAAAATCGGATATTTTTGGCTAGCGTCATTTTGGTCACGCGGGCTCTGTGATTGGAAGCCGAAGTCGTTCGAACATCTCCGAACAAAACAGCCGTAAAATAAAGTTTGCACTTGCCCTTTCGAAGAGGACAGGATGTGATTTAGACAGAATAAACACTTTTCTTTGGTGAACTCTCATCGCAAGTCGAACTCGCAGATGACAACAAGAACAGCGACCACATGCCAAGGGGTTTGAATAACGCTAAAGTGAAACTGACAGCTGATGTATCATCGAGTCGTCAAGACAGAATGTTGACTATCCACAGAAAGACTGTAAGTAATTATGGTAATCGTTCAAATGTAACACCCTTCCGGTGCCTGGCTGCCATGCCATCCGAAGGAAACAAGAGGGCTAGGAAACTGTCAGGCTGCCGAAGCCTAAAGAAGAGAAGTCGAGATGCAGAGGTCGGGTTCGAACCACGGACCTTCCGGTCAGTAAGTTCGCGCTCTAGCCAGTAACCAAGCTCACCCGCAAGCAATTATAATGTTGTTTGACGTACCGGTGATCATCGTGCTACTAAAAACTCTTCGACAGTACACTACCTATTTCACCTCTCTCAAAGGGTGGTAGGAAGCCGCAGTCTCAGGGAGTTTCCATCAACCTTATGCCTTACCTGAATATCAATTTAAACGTATGTGGATATAAACACTGATTCGCCAGCTAATTTAGTGTCAAAGAGAGACTCGCCCGACCCTCAGCTGAGGTTAACTTCTATGATATCTCCAATAAAAAAACTTCAATGCTTTTTCAAACGGAACATGAGGAATTCGGTTCAAGAATATCATAAACGTGAGACTCAGTTGAGACTGAGTTGAAGCTGAGGGATTCTGGACTCACTGGTCAGTCCATAGATCGAAAGACCTAGCGGAAAAATATCTTAGAAAGTTTCCCGTGGATTAGCATGGGTTGGCTACCTTGAATAGATGTTTGAAACACATGAAAATCGATAGATTAAAGCGGAGAATGTCTTTGAAGTAGTAGAGTAAACTGCGAGAGCTGACCGTGCTTTGGAAGCTGTGGAGTTACTGGTGTCTGTGGAAGTATAGCTGCCGTTTCACATAAAAATGACTGTTTTAAGAGTGTCGGTGGCATCAAAAATCTTCATTTTCTGCTGCCTTGTCGGACAGTACCGCTGTGAGATTGGAACCTGAACACGGCCTCCACGAATTACATTACTTCTCTTTTGACAAGCGTTTTACGTTTCAACCGTGTCTGCCAGTACTGTAACCCACACTCCAACATGCGTGTGCTGGCATTCTTCCCTTGTAGTAAATAAAGAGGTCCAAGAGCTACGCCTGTTTTTCGTGTTTGTTTCTCTCGAAAAGTATAAATAAATTGGTCATTTGTGTCATCTAGATGAACAAATCTACTTGAATCAAGCATTTATGTTCGCAAGTGAATATTTGTTGAGTGGTTGAACACTTCTTGGAAAAAAAAACGATTCTTTTCATCATCGGTTCGACCTCAGTTACGAGTAGCCAATCAGAATTAGGAACCAGTCTGTGTATTGAGAAAAAACAAGAGATTATGCTCTTCTAAACGGCACTTACTCCCTTGTTTCTGCATTTTTTATTACGGGAATAATTAGAAAACTAGCTGATAGTTGTAAATTTCACCTGAATGGGATTTCAAACCATCTTGGTACATCACTGATATTCTTAGAAATGTGCATATCGATCTCAAAAGTTTCTAGACATTTCCTAAGCAAGCACATATCAAGTATATGATAATTCAATATACATTTACATATTCGACGACGCCCTGTGGACTGATGATTAGTGCTCACCATGGCTGAGAATGAAACTCACTCAATGCCTCGAAAAAAACTGACTGATAAGATCCATAGACAAACTAATCGAATGTACAACGTCTTTTGTAGTATGATTACTGTTCAGACCTTTCTAGCATACAAAACGCTCTAGTTAACCGGGGAAACTGCACCAACTCACCTGGTAATCCCCGTATTGCAGCAGAATTCCTGAAAGATCGGACGAAACTGAGAACAGCCCGTTGAACAATCGTTTCTGTCCAAACAAGTTTGAAAACAAAGTAGACCACTGAACGAAGTAAAATGGGGATATAGCTGATTGAAAGGGACTCATACAGGTACAATAAACATGGTGTTCGTTGATATAGTGACCTAAATGTAATCAGCTCTTGCAAATCTAAAACTCGAATGGCGGTGAGAATGTCGTAGTTAGGGGCCAATTCAGTAACCGAAAGGTCCGTTGTTCGAACCCAACCCTGGTGCTTCTGTCTAGGCTTGAGCAACATGGCAGAATCTCAAGTCTCGTGCGTCCTTTAGGTTGCGGGCACCTCGGTACCGCTCAATGGTAACTATTATCATTTGGAACGCTCATTTAAAAAAGCGTCATCTATTTTTTTCCGATAGGAGCAGCGAGGATTGCTAATATCCTCTTGGTCAGTCACAAATTGAGCAAGCTATCCATTCTTCTGCGTTTCTATCAACAGATCAGATGTATTCATTTCTCTTCTGATCCGACGCAGTTAATAGAGAGAGAATTTAGGGATATCAACACCTCTACTACAATATCTCTTATTTGTCAGCTGCACGGTACCTTTCATCCTCGCTGATCTTGGTCCGGAGACGCGTTCGTGCATTTACATGACTGTGGCAAAATGCATCGACCGTTTATTCTTGCCAATTCACCTTAACCCTTGTCACAAAACGGATATTCAATATGCCGGCAAAGACAGTTATTTTGAAACCAAAAGCTGCTCTGATTTTAAATCAAGCCCAATCGCAGAAACAAAGAGATCAAAACGTTGACTCTCAGTATGTTCTCCGGCGTGTCAGCGGGCTATCGTCGGTAGTATTCAGAGGGGATGAGCACAATCAAAAAAAGTGTGAAAGATCTTCGGGCCATTCATTGTGGAAGAGGCATATCTTTATCCGGGGATATCCACTTCTTGACAAGCGTATTTGACTTACAGTTACTTTTTCTGGAGAAAGGAACTATCTCCAAGTAAGATACAACAACACGGATCAAGAAATTGTGTACAAATATACTCCTTCAGTGAACGAAACTTCTAACTCTGTCCACAGAATTCATCGAATTCCTACAATTTATTGAACGCCGTCTACTAGGCGTTCATTTCCTTGTGGATGTGACAAATTTGCACTCAGATTCACGGACAACCTCCCAGCTGTTTCATTTATCGACAAGATCGATTAAACACAATGCAGCTGTTCGAGCCTGTCTGCTCGTGTCACGTGACATTGCGCGTTCCCTATGTCTCAGGCAGTTTCTGCTGCCGGACCGTGGGGCTGATGCGCTCTGCTGACCGCCCGGTGCACCATCAGGCTAACCCCATAATGATTGGCTCCGGTAACCCATTCGTTGGGTTTTTTCAACGGATTGGCAGTAAACAAGCTGTGAGGCGAGTAAGTCCCACCTGAGCTTGTGCACATGCTTTGCGCGTCCACGTAGTATACCAATTGCTTCATCCGGTGAGCGAGTCCAATGTTCCGGGTTTTGTGTCCCACACTCATCACGTGACTGACGCTAGCCCATCCACAGACAAATCAGCATGGTACCACCCAGAAAGAAGCGGTCCAATTTAACCAAAGTCGCTTTTTATGACGTGTATTTTTCGTAAATCACCTCAAAAGTTGAATGGACATGTTATACCTTGAAAGAGTAGTTATTTTATTTGAAAACTGCTAAGTAGACCTTTATGAATTTCCTGCGGAAGCAGGCAGTTTTAATGTTCATTCAAATCTTAAATTTGGCCAAAAGTACCGAGTTGGAGTGTTAACCGTTAGTGCAACTGGTACCGAGTTGGATTGTTAACCGTTAACGCAAGTGACCAAGGTAACCAGTGCTTTTAAAAAGCCAGTATGCATCTTCATAGGGGAAGGGTATCTGTGGGTCTCAGGTGATCTCTATAAAAGGTGGCATTTTTCTCCCGCAGATAGTAGTCTAAGGTTTGCGGTATATGAATCAATGTAGCCCGGTGAATGACACCGCGAACAGCCCATCCGGATGAACCGGGACCCGATGAACCTCGTAGAAACTGACCTTCTGACCCCAGCCTGAAGTGGTTAGGCACTCAAATAAAACTCACCTAATGTAAGAAGCCTAGGTTGTTTTGGAACAAAAGTTTGAAACATGAGGCGGTCTTGTGAAGGATATTTAGTTGGAGAGGAACATAGAAAAAAACGCGAAATTCAGCTGGGAGTTAGGTGAGACTTTCATGAAGACCAAATTGCACTTTCGGTTGGTATGCATTTTTTGAAGTCTTCAGTTATTTTTCTACTTACAGCCACAACTTTTTACTGCCTGTCAAAGGCTCTGATGTGCTCCCATCATTCAACAATTCTTCAGTGACATTTGTCTGGGGTGTTCCACACTAGAAAGAGAACTATTAAAATGTGGGTCATTTGTTTCCCCCAGGGACTTCCTTATGGGGGGGGGATCGCACTCTAAGTAGCGCCATGTGTTGGCGGTTACAGTGGACAATTCAGGCGACACGATCCGACAGATAAACACCTGTGAAAATGTGAAAGTGTATACCACTAATGCGAGATGTGGGTAACCCTGGCCGTTCAAAAATTTTGAACTATTTCTCTTGCAGATGAAAAGAAGTTAGGTTGGATCAAGTAATCATTTAGATTGTCCACCTCCTTTGGTAACTTATGTTCAGATGACTCTCAATAAAAGTCCAGAAATGTACTTGAGCCACACGTTTTACCCAAGTTGTTCACGTTCGGCAGCCCCGAGGTCCGGTTCCACGCTGCTGCTTGCATCAGCGGCTGGCAGAATTGGTTGGCTGTCGGTTCAACCAACGGTCTGCTATAAACCGAAAAAGGAATTTTGCGTTTGGCTGTGTCTACCAGGTTACACTGACCAGGTTGGCTAGGAAAAACCTGTGCAAAACGTACTGCTAGGCACGCGAGAAAAAGTTCTCGGTTGTTTGACTGCCTGAAGTTCTGAATTCCTAGATTCACCTCATGAGCCCCGAAAAGTTCCTGTGGATTCATCCAAACGATGCTTCTGTGATTTCAAACATGCACTCTCATTATCACCATTGAAGAATGTTAAGTTGATGTCAGGGATTTTCAGAGAAAAACATTTCTGCTTCCGTTTATCAACATTTAACATCTGAAATGACCGCACTATTTACGAGCCACCATGATGGTTGAAATCTAAGAACAATCAAGAACCACGCGGAGATTCCTGTGTACCGATCGAAATATGACTGAAGATATCATGTCGCCTGATTGGCGAGGCAGGTTTTATCCATCATCGAATGGGATTGAACCAAACGAAATTAGGAATCAGGTACTACAGTCTTGTGACGTGTTTCAAGAAAAAAGAAACAGCTGTACAGTGATTCGCAGATTTCCAGAAAAGACTGGCTTCGGTTATGGGGCAAAATTGTAGTTTGAGTCCCAAACTTTTGTTTGAAAAATGGACTGTAGTACTGAGAGTTCAGAAGAGGCTAACTCACCTCATTCAAAGAGTGGCGTGGGAGGAGAGTTCTTTGTGTCATTGCTGTTTGGTTGAGGTAGACGAGGTCACCATTGTGTGAGAGATAAACAATTCCATCTGTTTGAGTTGAGAAAAATTTGATAAATTAGAGGATGTTTCGGTGATCGTACGGTAAAGTGGAGCAACCCAAATCAAAGCGTAACGAGTCTAAATCGCATAAAAGGTTTCCTGATGGACATCTATGAGTAGCACTGCCATGGCAACAAGTGTTCAGCTGGATAGATGAACATAAGGATAAAAAAACTTCTGATGTATTAGGCTACTTCTGATTAGATCATTGTCTCTGTGCAACAGTTTAGTCGTAAAACCAAGCTGTTGGTGTAATGCACTAATCATAAGGTTGCTGTAAACTCCTCGACAGCCCACGACCGGTTTCGCCTTTCTAAGGGTTCATCAGGTAGGCGCAGTCTCCGAGTTTCCGTCAACCTTATGTTCTGCTTGAGCTCAAATAGCACGAAATCAGAGAAACACACTCATTTGTAAACAAACTTGGTTTTGCGAGAGACTCACCTGGAACCCAGCTGAATCTCTCGGTTTTGATGTTTCAAGGCAGCTGAATGTGCTGCACCAGGCCGCCTAATGTTTCATCAAAATTGAGAGATTCAGCTGGGTTCCAGGTGATTCTCTCGAAAAAAAACCCAAATTAGTCTGCAAATGAGTGTATTTCGTCAGGCTATTGGTTGTTTCCAATACCCCGCATGTGCGTGAGGACACTTTCGGGTTGCGCTCTAGGAAGTAGAATAGAAGAGGGTCACGCCTGTCGCATCGTTGTACCCAGATATCGGGGTTCACCATAGCGACTTCAGTCGTGGACCCGCGTGAAAGCTTAAAGGAGACCAAAAGGAACTATGCGGTGTTATAGACAAGAGGTTAAAAACCTTATTCCCACTGAGTGCTTGAGAAGTAAACATTCTCAAATATCCTACTGAACTTCTCTAGACGTACTTTGAACAGTGAAAAAAATAAGTAAAGATCACTGTAGTGGCTAAATACTTCCCCTAACATTCTTCCATCAAATACAGGGAGGGCGCTTTAACCAGTGCCCAGACACTACTCGCATTTTTCACAAGTAGTATTCAACCTCGCCTTGGTAGAACCGATGAAATTTGCCCCCGGCCTGTCTGATTTTTCACCGTTGTAGATTATTTGCCCTATATTCATCGCCCACTAACCCTGAAAGATCGAATTAGTCCTGCCTGATCCCCGAGCACATTGTGACCATGTTTTACGTTTGATAAAACAAAAAGAATGATTCGTTTTCGAAAACGTTTGGTGGCAGTTGGTAGATTTATTGCCGAGAAACGTTTCGCTTTTGACACAAAACTTTGTCAGGGGCCAAGTGACTAGGTTCCGAGGTTGGTCGAGACTTAAGGCGGAAGTAGAATGAATCAGCTAAGTCAAGCTAAATCTCTGTTGGGTGTCGGCCAAGGGATTTTAGTGTGTTAGAGTGGTTGAACAAGTGTTGGGTCGGTGGGGAAACCTACATGTGATTGGTTCCAGCCTAGGGTCTAGTTCTTCTGGTTTGGTTCATTTGATGGTTCCCCTTGAACTTCGTCTGAACCTTCTGTCAGTCTGTGTGGGTGAGCTAGTGCTAAGATAGTTGTGTAAGAATGATTACTTGCCTACAGGCAGATCGGAAAGCAGTGATGAAACGGCCATAAGAATAAGCACTTTGTAACAAAGATTCCTGCATTGACCTGTGACTGGATCAAATAAACACATAATCTTAAACATCAAGAAGTACACAATTTCTGTACTTAATTCATCTATCATGCAACAAATTCAGGCAATCTCCCGTAACATGCAAAATCATCAAAATGGTGGTGTTGAGAACAAAGAAACCGAAAAAACGAGTACCTTTCACAATTTTGTAGGATAATAATTCGAACCACTTGTTCATGTGTATAAAGTCACTGAATGTATACGGTTTTCCATAGTTATCCGCGGGCTCACCTAAATAGGTTGGAGAAAATGCGCACGTTATACATAAGAATCATGAGCACAGCTGACCTTGTAAAGTTTGCACAAAGGTGGACATTTTCAACCTAGCACAAATGGCAAAATATATTGGCAAATTTACATGACTGATACGGAAACACTTATCCGAAGGATTCCTGCGCTACGGTGATCCACGCAGGTACATCTACTTAAAATTAGCCAGTAGTACGTGGCCAGAAATAGACATATTTCGTCAAAAACAAAGCGTTGGGGTGCTTTTCTGACGAGATGTACCGCCACGTTGTAGACTTGAAGTACCAACTAAACATATAAACAGTGTGGTACTCTCTGCGCACACTGTTTTTCACGGAGACCCCGCAGAAGTATACACATTAGCATGCACCAAAGACGTTTGTCGAAGACAGACGATTCCAGGAACATAATGCATCCGTTTCTTCTCAGCCGTTGTCAGGATATCTCGGTCATGAGGACAGCCTACCAATCTATGAGAACAGTGTACTCTAACCTGGCAATCAAGACTTATAATTTATTTCTTGATGACTCAGATTAACTCGTAAAAAACGGAAATGTGGAAAAGAAGAGCGCTGCAAGTCGACGTAAGGCGGAACAGAAAGATTCTGTATGTTCCACATTGATTCCAACGTTTCTTGATCCTAGGGACATTGAGCCAAACGGAAAGAACCAGGCTTAATCATGAACAATGGATGTTCAGCCCTAGAAAATATAACAAATGATTTGCGGTCCTCTGACCCGATTTTTCCTTATGGAGTAATGTGTCATCCCGCAACGCATTATTTATCGAGGTGTCCTAGGGTGCAACAACGCACTGAGCGCGGACTTACCAAAAAAGTGGAGTTTGAGGCATAGTATGAAACGGAGAGAGAGAGAGGAACCTGATGGAGAAAATGGTGCCAAATATGACTAATTTCGTCTTCTTCCTGAAAGCATCTTACAATTTACACCATCCGACCAGAGCGAACTTTCGTTTGATCAGTTAGAAAATGCTTGAAGTGAGTTGTCGTTTAAGAAAGGTTTGAAAAACAGTCATAAATTTGCCAACTGTTGTTCATACTTTTGTGAAACCTTCTGTCTACTTCTTCCAGCAGCGTTTCAAGAACGCAGTAGCCGTATACAGAATCATTAGGTTTAACAAGAAGCACTACTCCGTTGCACGTGATCTATATCGAATGTTTCGCAAACTCTCATAACAAAATAGTTCAGGTTTCGGGTATGAAGCTCACTTTTTAGAGACCTTCTAGTACAAAAATACGCCAAACTCACTGCTATCTAGTTGTTTTCTCTACTAATAGAAAGAAGATACGGTTGTATCAGACATTCCCCCTCACTGATCTTCGCGAAGTTTTATTTGGTAGCATTTTTAAAAAATCTGTTTATTCGAATAAGCCTTTAAAAGCAGCTCGGTAGTAAAAAAATGATTTTTTTGGTGAGTCCAAACCACAGTACAAATCGCACAAACACCTACGAGAAATTCAGACTGTACCAACAGGTTTCAAACGTCCGTCGCGCTACCTCACAGTCGGGTCAATCGATCGACAGTGGATTAGGGCGAACCAGTCACGTGAACACCGTAGCCTGTTCACATGTGAAAATTCAGATGCGTCCAGCATGCGCTGGCGGATAGGTGTGTTAACACGCTCGCCTCACACGTCCGAAGATGTCCGAAGATCAAACCCCAACACTGCCAGGGATATGCAGGACTGAGAAGCTCTGATAAGAGCGAAACTAGAGTCTAGTGTATATCTTTGTAATGTACTACTCATAAGGTTGCTGAAAATCCGTCAACATAGTCTAGTGTTTCCTCTCTTCGGTGTGGACACAGGATAGGCGGACGACTGTGAAACAATAGTGATGTGGAAGTGAACACTACAAATCCCACTGCCGATTATGCCCGAACATTTTCGAGAAAAGCAGCCCTACAGTTCACAATGGTCAGAGTTGTACGGCTGTAACGCCCAGATGTCAAGTCAGACTAATTGTAATGTCTACTAAAACTTACGTGGAGTAGTCAGGATACTGGCAGTCACAATGATGGAGGAGATGACTGCAATAACCAGGAGAGCGAGCAGGATACCACGCCAGTTGCGTTTCTGAGGTGTGTTGGCCAAAAGCTCCTGATGGTAGATTGTGAAAAGAAGGCATGTGGTTACTTGATCCCGAAAGGCATACATGCATGTATGTGGAATGGTTCGAAACAATTGAAGAGTAGACAAATAAAAACACTGAGCAGTGAATAACAGAAGGCGATGTAGTGTGTGTATACCAGAACCTCAGTGTCAGCAGACTATCGATTCTGTTTGAAATGCCACCTTAAAATGCCCTGGTCTAACGTGAAGTTCCTGGATGGAAGTACAGTTGAACAAATGAATCCGTAAGCTCTTTCACTCAGTAGTCGTTCAGTTGTAACACCCTTTCGGTGCCTAGCTGCCATGCCACCTCAAGGCTGCACGAGGGCTGGGATACTGCCAGGTTGCCCAAGCCTAGACAGGAGAAGTCGAGAGGCAGAGGTCGGGTTCGAACCACGGACCTTCCGGTCAGTAAATTCGCACTCTAACCACTTGGACCATCCCATTCACTCAGTAGAATACCTTCAGAAAGGAAAAAGTAGGGATTCATGCGAAAGTTTTGGTGGAAGGACAGTGCTTTCGTGCCTCAGAGTTACTGTGGCTTATGAAAGGTCTACTGTATGGAAGTGTGGCCTAACCAGAAGAAGGGTGAGATACCGAAAAACGTCATCATCATTGCGGTTTGCCAGTGAATCAGAAAGTGTTGCTATGCTGCCAAACATGTGGCTTGATGCCACGAACAGAATACTTCTACGACTAACCACGTTGCTGTTTCATCCTGCACAATGCTAATATTAAACTTTGTAATGCCCTACTCTCCACAAAAATGCTTGCTTTTTGGACAGGGGTCCTTGATACAAGAAGGTGCGAAAGCTAGGGCTTGTACTCAGACTTTTATTCATGCGATAGGCGATTGTACTTCAATGGCGTCATTCAAGAAATCACTCGATTCTTTAGAATAGGCATCAGATATGAAACACGCACACCAAATGATACCTTATACGAGGGGGAACTATAGATATCACTTAAACGTTCGATCATTTCTGAAGGAGACTTAGCCATACGTTGTCTGAGATACCTAGAAAGAAACTCAACGAGAGGAAAACCGTCATGAAAGAAAACGATTCTCTCTGGCACCTACACTCTATCAGTGCACTGCCACTAGAAGAAACGACTTTTGTAAATGGACACGAAACACATTCGAGGCTTTCGAAACGTTTCTTTTGGTCACAACTAATGAATGAAAAGGACGATACGGATCCTTATACGAGGGGGAACTATAGATACCACTTAAACGTTCGATCATTTCTGAAGGAGACTTAGCCATACGTTGTCTGAGATACCTAGAAAGAAACTCAACGAGAGGAAAACCGTCATGAAAGAAAACGATTCTCTCTGGCACCTACACTCTATCAGTGCACTGTCACTAGAAGAAACGACTTTTGTAAATGGACACGAAACACATTCGAGGCTTTCGAAACGTTTCTTTTGGTCAAAACTAATGAATGAAAAGGATCTGCCGATACGGATCAACCCATTCGTGATGGCGCTTTGAGGGTCACGGCTAATCTGTGAGGGTTGGCTAAAAAAAACTCAGGTAAAATTATACCATTCAGACGTCATTTGGATGTTTAATCAAGAAAAAAATCGCAAAGCGAAACGTGTTTTGTAACATCTCTTTTCCTACGATTTTTGTGACTGGATGTGAGTCACATCCTGCTTCAAAATGGTGGAATACCAGACGGGGCACATGCCCTTAGTCTACTTTTGGGATAAACGTCCTAAAGAGATCACCTTACTGGTGATGGATGGCTACGAATCGCACAGGTAGGTTTGTAGATGGCGGTCTTGAACTTAACCAAAGCGACTAGGAGGCTATCATCAATAAAGATGAAATGGGACAGGGCAACTCAGTGGCAGTGAAGGTTATTCAATACGGGCGATCAGTTGAACTCGAGATGGTTTAGCAACTCAGACCAGTAGAAACGGAGATTCAAGCTAGTTCAGTAAACTGAAAAAATGACTGAAGAATTAGGCGGTAAGCTTTGGACACCTGGGTGAACCGAGCGCTAGGACATTTAGGTCACAACCTCGTGATCGACTAATTTATTGAACAGTGCATTGCCACAAAAAGCAGCGGTCATGAACCACAAGTAACACTACCTCATCTCGATGCAGTTCAACTCATACCTCATCACTACAAGTTCTATACCTGTATCTAGCAATCCAGAATGTTCTCTGTCTGAAGAGTCGTCAATTGGAGGCTATTGAACAGTTTAGCAGGTGGAGAAAATGAGCCACACTGCCAACTAGTTATTCGCACGTGAATCGAGCTGCATTCATCCTGCAAGTCTGTAGACTACCAAGGAATGTGAGCAAAGACAAGACGGTTGTACGCAGTCAGTGAAGGCTTCGCAATGGACATACACTGCTTTTCAAAAGAAAACTCGACTGTAGAATATCATAAACGAGAGATTCAGTTGAGTCTCTCGTGAAAACCGAATTGATTAGCGAATGAGTGTGTTTCTCGAAAACGGTCCAATTTGGGTTCAAGTAGAACATAAGGTTGACAAGAACTGCGCCTACCTGATGAGTCCCAAGAAGGGCGAAACCGGTCGTGGGCTGNAGCAAACTTGTGAGTAGTTTTCTTTATGAAAATATACTGCGATATCTCGAATATTGTGCCAACTGAATCATGAAGCGGCCTGTGTGCAGCACATTCAGTTGTAGAATATAATAAACGAAAGATTCAGTTGAGTCTCTCGTGAAAACCAAATTGATTTGCAAATGAGTGTATTGCTCGAAAACAGTTCAATTCGGGCTCAAGTAGAACATAAGGTTGACGGAAACTCGGGGACTGCGCCTACCTGATGAGCTCTTAGAAGGGCGGAACCGGTCGTGGGCTGTCGAAGAATTTTCAGCAACCTTGTGAGTAGTTTCCTCTATGAAAACTCGATTATCTTGTCCTTGTGATAAGTTGCTCCCATAGCTCTGTTTCCGATAGCCACACCAGCTTCACAAAACACAACTCCGTTTGGTTTTTTTGCTTCCCCTAATACAAAGGTGATTCTCGTCCATAAATGTTCATGTTTATTACCGGTTTAGCAGACCTGTCATCCGAGAACACATTCTGTTTTTGGGTCCGTGGTCAGATGCGATCCATCCACCCAGCACCATGTGCAAACGAGGTGTTGGAGTCGATTACTCACACACACACACACACAAGTGACAAAACCGGTTTTCTCATTACTACATGCATCCAGAGCTTATCGCCCCGCCGACCAACCATCCTTGGCGGAACAGTGTAGTTTTCAGCTCCCAACTAGCAACACACCAAGACAGATCGAGTTTCGGAGATGGTGATTTCAAACACAAGGGAACCGGTAGCCAGTTTTCAGCAATTTTCATCTTAAATGGTAACAGATATGGTTCAGGCGTTCTATTGTTGACATTGGTTTCCTATGCAACGTGACAGTGAAGTCACACTGTTCGTCATGAATAAAGCTTGGGTTGACGTATACTCCCACCAAACAAAACGAGTCCATTGACCAGATAATCACTAATTGTACAATGTTACTAACCAAGAAATGTGGTTAACCGTGCTGTCTACTGTTTAGTATTAGTGACAATCTATATATTATGGTGAAGGGCATTGGGTAACACCACCAAGTCGTCCCAGATAATTGACAAAAGTGAGGTCACACACGATGTTAGTGTCACGTTTGGATGCGCCCAGCTATTCTCCTAGTATATCGTGCGCCGAACACCTCAGGGACTTCTGTCTGAGTTTGGGCAATCTGGCAGACCTCGTGCTTCTTACGATTGACATAGTTGCTAGGACAGCTGAACAGGTTTTAGCAAATTCCTTACAGCGGTCCTGACAGACAGTCCTGGCCATAAATCCCTCTCGATAACCAGTACCTCTGCGTTTCAGTTTGGAATCCAGTGAATCTGTAACGCAAAGTCGACCAGATTATTCTATTGAAGGGTTAATCAGAATTCATTTCAGTCTCCGTGATGTCCACTGTCACATCCAGCTTCAAAAGCAAAATCAGTCGACTCCGTCTGTTTGTAGGCAGTGTGGATCTTCCGTTGTGAATCCTTCCTGCAGTATCACGCAGAGAGTGACCAGGCTCAGTCCAAAAACTGATAGAGACTGTGTTTATTGGAAGCTCATCAAACGGGCATGGATGCCGAATTCACTATCTAAATTAGACAGCGACTTCGAAACAACAGTGCTCCCGGGTTGGAATTCTCATATGAATTGGTCTCTCTACAAGCATCTGGAAAGTAACTTCCCTGTCATAGGAGATCACATTCAAGAATGCACTTAAGCGGATAGGAAGACATCGATCTGAATCAACAACTTCATAGGACTTGAGAGAACACGTCAAATCACCTCAAATGACACGCTGTCAGCTAATCTCCATTCTTTCGATCCTAACGTAGGCTACTAATAAACGGTTTTTTTCAGGGGAACTGTCAGGAACTCACTGGGTCATCCGTTTCACTCGGTTTCAAAGAGTTTCCGCTATGAATCGAATTGGCTTCTATGTCTCTGGTATCTGCTCCATTCTCCTTTTTGAGTAACTTCGGGTTCGGTGATTCAGAGCCGCGTGGTATCGATTCCTTTCGAATTGAGGGCATAATTCTCAACCGTCACACCGAATCCAGGTGTTAAATTTTAGCGAACTCTCACATGCGTGTGATGAAATTTACCACGGGTCGATGTCACAGCAACGTAAGAAATAGGCGAAAAATCAAGCCACCTTTTCAGTATCCAATGGGTAGGACGGAAAAGCCAAATGGGGTAGCCAATCAGATTGCTAGGACAACTCTATCGATCGGCAACTTCCGCCATACTGTTGGTTTGCCTTCTGCGATGCTGGTTTGCCTTACGATCGTGGCAATGGCATTCACATTTGTGTGGCGTGGTCAGGCACGATAGGTCATAGAAGCGAACTTTGTTTTACTTTGGTTGTGGTGTCGATCGTGTTTGAATGAACGTACACATATATCTGCTACTTGGCGCGAATCGTGACACTTTGAAGTGTGTAAAACCCAAGAAATACAAGGCAATGCACGTGTTTTCGCGCCATCCACATATCGTCAGGATCCCCGGAACGTTATTTCAATGCGAAAAAATTAAACATTCGCCGTTTCATGGTACAGAAGTTTACAACGTATTATATGATTTGTTTACATCATTCTTTTCTAAGTACTCCCATCTCATGCAACACCTCAGTAAACGGAACGCCTTTGTTTATTGCGGTGAATTCAAACAGGGTTAATCAATTAGTGACGCCCGATCAAATTTTATTCGATCAGCCACGATAAAAATTGAGTTTATCTAGAGAACTGCACTGTGTTCTACGCTTTCACACTTGCTGGTAGTACGCGAGCACACTACTCGATCAGCCAGTCCAGGACTTTCTCATTGGGCCATACTGATCCAGGCAGGCGCGCCAGTCCACACTGACTGTATAAGTCTACAGCAGATGACTCATCTCAGCAGCTGTAACAAATGGTCGATAGTCATGTCCCTAAAGTTTTCAAATAGGCAGGGTGAACCTAAGACGACACGGCCTGCCAGGACCGGTCTACGGGCAAACAGGCTGTACGCAAATGCTTGAAAAAGAAAACCAATCATCTTCACACTGTTTGTTGGGCTTCCGTGGTCTGTCTTTGATGGCTCAGGTAGGATTTGAGGCATAACGATAAACCTTTCCGCACAATGCACAAATTCTGGAAACCTACAGAGAAAAATTTCTCGGGGACGTTTGGATCAAGGTTTGGTGGAAAGTCTTGCATATTCGAGTACCCATGCCTGTAGAGAAACTTTAAAGGTTTAAGCTGAGCACTGTGGCCTCGTCAAAAGTGTGGGAGTTTTCTGATAATAAGTAGCCATGTTTCTCGTGTTGGAAGGCTCAGTCAGTGACCTTGACATCGAACGCGTAAAACAAATCAACGTCTTAGTGAGCTGGTGCCCGAAAGTACCTCAATTTGCGGAAATTGCAGTGCGGTGACAGCACCGATAGAAACTCCCCGTTCGTCTTTCACCTTTGAGCCCCAGCAAAGCTAGGAAAGATCGTTTGAAAGATACTAACATTGTGCGAAACACGGGATATATCGAGACATCGCAGGATGAGAAATCGTGTCATCAATGAGGGATTCCTGGACAAGGAACTGCCAATTTATGAAACCACAGAGTAAAGGAGCAAAAAGCGATTTTTCCAAACTATGCGCAAGCCAACGTTTCTTCCGGTTTACTGACAACGAATCTACTTGGAGATTGTGTTTGTGAAACTCATACATAAGCCTATGGTGGTTACATAACAAACTCTTCTTTTCAATCAATTGGAAAATGTTTGGGACCGATTGGGAAGTCATCGTTTCAGAGGTGTTTGGTAAACAATCAGTGGATTCATTGCTGGGCAAAGTTTCGCTTTTGACACAAAAGCTTCGTCAGGCCAAGTGAGTAAGTAAGCAGGTTGATGGGATCACCAATATCCCCGATTTTGGCCAACATGTGCATGGAAGACTTCGAACAGAAAGCTTTAAACGCATTCGAGTGTCTACCAAGGGTGTTCTGGCGTTACGTAGATGGCACGTTCGTTGTAATAAAGCAGGATAAGGTGAACGAATTCTTTCAACATCTGAACACATTGGACCCTAA